CCTAGATACTTTCTAACACCAAAGCTATCTCTATGGCATTTCACCTCTCGCCATATCGGAGTAAGTAACAGTTATTGGTTGAATGTGGGATTTTAAATTAAAAAATAAGAGTGATAACCAGACTCTGATTTTCTTTGAGGGAATGAAGACTCAACCCTTGTTTATCGACACAACTATAATCACTTGTTGTCTTACTCTCCCACTCGTGGAGGGCAGGGCTAAGTTTCAGTTACCAAAATTAGTTGAAAACTGGCTAGGATAGTCCTGACACACAGTAGGTGCTCAAATGTTAATGGAGCACCAGATCCAAGTGTAACAGAATTCACGGATGCTTTGTTCATTATATTAGAGGAGTTCAAAATGTAGTACACAAGAAAATCCACAGGAATATATGCAGAAAATATAAAAATTTCCTTTTATTTTATCTCATTCATCTCTTTACTTAACATTCCATTATACTACCACAGTGTTACACATCTATAATTTAACACAAATAACTAGACATATTTGAGAGCACTTGTGAGCACTTGTTCAAAATATTTTTAATAATGGTGGATATGATCAAAATCCTTTGAGCCCTGTTTCACTGCATTAATTCACTATAATTAGTCTCCCATTGGTACCAATAAAATTTACTGAGTTTGGTTTTTAAAAGAACATTGTGGGTAGAATATGAATAGACTTCTACCATTGAAGGGGAGAGGGAGGAACATACCAGTATTAACTGCCAGGTGTCTTATCCCATTTCCATTTGATCCTCACAACCCACAAAGCTGATATCTCCATTTTATAGATGACAAAACAGTAAGTTAGGAAGTGGTTCCTAAAGAAAGCTTCTGTTTTCTGGAACCGTATCATCTCTTCCTTGTATGGTAGAATTCACCAGAAATAATCTAGGCCTGTTTGGGAAGGTTATTAATTATTGATTTGATTATTAAAATAGATATAGACCATTCAGATTATTTCTTTCTCCTTATGTGAGTTTTGGTAGGTTGTGTCTTTTAGAGAAATTGGTCCATGTCATCTTGGTTATCAATTTGTGGTCACCTGTTTGTAATAACTTCTGTGGTATCAGGAGGGATCACCCATCTCTCTCAGTAATTATTAGTAGTTTGTGTCTTCTTTCTTTTTATGTAGCCTGGTTAGGTGTATATTACCTTTATTGATCTTTGCAAAGAACAAGCTTTGGTGTTGTTGATTTTCAATTTCATGATCTTTGCTCTGATTTTGTCTTTTTCTTGCTCAGTTTTTCCTATTTTCCTAAAACGGAAGCTTAAATTATTAATTTTTAGATCTTTCTTCTTTTCTACTATATGTATCCAATGCATTTAAAGTATATGCCGTCTGCCCTGACTGGTGTGGCTCAGTGGATTGAGTGCTGCCAGCCTGCAAACCAAAGGGTCACTGGTTCAACTCCCAGTCAAGGCACATGCCTGTGTTGTGGGTCAGGATCCCAGTAGGGGACATGTGAGAGGCAACCAAACATTGATGTTCTCTTCCTCCCTTTCCCTCTGTCTAAAAATAAATAAATTAAATCTTTTTAAAAAATTTTAAAACATGGGAGAATCAAGATGGTGGAGGAGGGAGTGGAAGTCACACTGACCTCCTCACAGGACCAACCTAGAATTACAACTAAATTGTGGAGAAATCATCTGGAACAAACAACTGAACAATAGCAAGAGAGGAGCCTTGTAACCTCAGGCAGACAGAATAATCAGCTTTAGCACAACCTGACTGGTAAAGAGTATGGTAGAAACTCAAGAAGGCAGGTGGGGCGCCCATAGGTGGCACCACCAGAAGGATATTGAAATGCCAATTGGATCCCCCTGAGATGAGTGAGGTCTAAACCATAAGCAGGGATCTCCAGCCTACAGCACCAGAGCCCAAAAAGTACACAGAAAACAGCCAGTTGTGAAAAGCAGCCAGATTGCTCTCTGCCAGAGACAGGCAGCTGGAGACACAAAGAGCTGTTTGAAGGGCCAACACATACATTTTTGTTTGCAGCCAGTTACCTTGGGCTCCAGCAAAGGCAGGGGCAGAGGGCATTGGAAATGCCTGAGGAGAGACTGGGGAAGGAGGCTTTGGGGAGAGAACTGAGAGAGTAGCTGGAGGGATCCCGGTGCTGACTCATCCCCCATGCGGCAGCAGCCATCTTTCTCAGGGAGACCGCTCCCCTGAGCAGCAGAAGCATGAGAGGACCCAATAACCCTGCCCCCAGGAGGGACTCTGTCCCGCCCTGTGGTGTCTCTAAGTCTGACTGCTGAGTGCAGAGTGACTAGATTAACAGCTGAAAGAGATAGCCACAGACAGTAGATTCTTGGAAGTCTCAAACAGACTGCCTACGGTCAGACAGGGCCAACATCTGACATCATCAGAGGCAGATCCAGAAAGAAAAAAAACAACAACAACAGTGGTTTCCTACCACAGAAGTTCACACCACAAAGTTGGGAAATCAAGACAGATCAATTTAAGAAGCAGCAAAAAGAAAAAAAGTCTCACAAATAATGGGAAGAGAAAGAAACACCTCCCAGCTCAAGGGAAAGGAGAAATACCCAGAAAGAGAAACAAATGAAATAGAAGCAAGTAAACTATCAGATATTGAATTCCAAACAATGGTCCTAAGGAAGCTCAATGAGCTAAGAGAGAATTACAAAAAACTAAAAGGAAACTATGAGGAACTTACTGCAAACTATATCAGCATGAAAAAGGACATAGAATCTATCAATGGGAGACAAGAGGAAATGAAGAATACAATTTCTGAATTGAAGAACACAGTAGAAGGAACCAAAAGCACGCTAGATAAAGCAGAGGATCAAATCAGCGAGCTGGAGGATAAGGTAGAAAAAAGCTCCCAGAAAGAGCAAGAAAATGAAAAAAGACTCAAAAAGAATGAAGAGGCATTGAGGGAAATGCAGACAACCGGAAACGTAATAATATTCATTTAATAGGGATACCGGAAGGAGGAGAAGAAAAGCAAGGGATAGAGAAGCTGTTTGAAAAAGTAATAATGGAATACTTCCCTAATTTGAGGAGAGAAAAAGTCACACAAGTCCAGGAAGCACAGAGGGTCCAATTCAAGAGGAACCCAATGAGGCCCACTCCAAGACATATCATCATTAAAATGGCAAATATTGAATACAGACAGAGAATCCTAAAGGAAGCAAGGGAGAAACAGGCAGTAACATATAAGAGAGTCCCAATATGGCTAGCAGGTGACTCCTCAACAGAAACACTACAAGCCATAAGGGAATGGCAGGAAATATTCCAAGTGAAGAAAAGCAAAGGCCTGCAACCAAGACTGCTTTACCCAGCAAGGCTCTCAATTAAAATGGAAGGCGAAATAAGGATCTTCTCAGACAAAAGAAGGCTAAAAGAATACACCTCCACCAAACCAGCACTGCAAAATATGCTAAAGAGACTGCTTTAAGAAGATGAAGAAAAAGAGTCTATGAATACCCAGTTCCTTTCACAGTCACCAATACTTGATATTACCAATATTTTTAATACTTATTAATCTTACTGTGACAATGATGTGTTATTTTAATTTTTATTAAATTTAATACAACTTTATTATTAAAAATATTTTTATTATTTGTTGAAATTAAACCTGTTTTTGTATATTTCTTGCCTATTTTTATTATTTTTTTAAAAAGCTTTAAATGACTTTTTGGTACTCTTTATCCATTTTTTGATTAAATGTAGAATTTTTTCCCTAAAAACAAAAACAATTATTAACCCTTTTATAGATGTGTTGCAAATACTTTCTTATCGTATCACTTGTCCTTTAACTTTTTTTACATGAATATTACTGTATAGTCTTAAATGTTTAATATAGTCATATTGTCAATATTTTACTTTATAGCTTCTGGGTTTGAATATGTTACTTCAGGGTAAGAAAAATACTATTTTTTATTTTTGCCTAAAACTCCTTAGATTTTACATATCGATTTTTAACTCACCTGAATATTTCTTGTATAATGTGTGAAATAGGGCTCTATATTTGTTTTATTTCAAGTAATAGTGATCCATACACCTTATATGTTGAATGAGCCTTATTTTCCCCATTGACATGAAATATCAATTTAATCATATATTACATTGTTAGAAAGATACATATGGTTGTTTCTAGAATGCTAATTTTATTTCATTGATCTACTTGATTATTTCTGTGCAGCTGTCATGATTGCTGAGACTTTATAATGGATTTAAATTTTTTAATATTTTATGATCTTGACATTAAAAAAATAAATAAATAAAATCGATATGCATTTTTAAAAAAAAGAAAGAAGGAACTCCTTTTGCAACAACATGGATGGAACTGGAGACTATTATGCTAAGTGAAATAAGCCAGTCAGTGAAAGACAAATACTATATGATCTCACCTATAAGTGAAATCTATTCAACAAAATAAACTAATGAACAAAATAAACCACAGGCAAGGAAACATGAAGCAGACTGAAAGTGACCAGAGGGGATGGGGAAGGAGGACAATGGTAGAAAGAAGGAGAAGGAACTAAACAAAGAACATGTATGAATGACCCACGGACATGGACAACAGAGTGGGAATTGACTGTGGGAGAGGGGGCGGGGTAGGATGGGTGGAGGAGGGCAAAGGGGGAAAAATTGAGACAACTGTAATAAAATAAACATTTAAAAATTAAAAAAATAAATACAATGTTAAAAAATGTTAAAAATAATAAAGTGTATGCAATTTGAATATGTTTTTATCCAAAGTAAATTGAAGTAAATGTAAAAAACAAAAATCAAAATATGCATTTAAAAATAAGTAATTTTATATATTCAAAATTATCTGTTATATTAAAATAAAAATTAAATATAATTAATATATCAAAAAGTTTAAACTAAGATCATTTAAATAAAACTATTTTCACTTCTTTTTTTACAATTAAATTAATTATTGTTATATATATTTAAAGCCAATAATAATAATACAATGTCAGTAAGAGATATGTGGTAATCTTCACTCTTTTTCCTTCTAGGATTTCCAAACTGTCTTACCATCATTTGATCTCTTCTCCAAGTATGGAAAATCATATTCAAAAGCTGGACAAATTTTATAAAGGTATGCATTTTTGCTAAGTACTTCAAATAGTATTTTCAGTAACAAAAAAATCAAATGGGATTGACTTAACTCATTTTAAAAGCCCTGTTATAATATCAATGTATAACAAAACCAGACACTTCTTTTATTCTAGTCTAGTGGTTTTTAACACTCAAAAATCATGGGTTTTGTTTTCCAAATCTCCAAAATGTACTCAAAAATACATTAAGAAATAGAACTAACAAAAATCAGAAGTACTTTTTTTATATTAATTAATACAATAAAACAATAATTTATGCAATACAATGGAATAATATTGATGGTGTCAAAAAGCTAAAACATTTCTCAGTACTGTATTGATTCAGTTAGTTCAAAATGCCATATTCAAAATATGCATTATTTGAAGTACCAGGTGTGTCTATGGAATTCCAAAGAAAGAGTGTCTGGAGTCTCCGATTATCAAAGTTTACAGAATGGAGAGGGAAAAAAGACCTACATAAAATTCAAGATCACAGAGTAAGCTCTCACTGAGTACTCTATTTAATTGCAAAAACAAAAACAAAAAACAGGGGGTGTTTAAAACTAGAGATGTGATCACAGAGTGAGACTTTTTGGAAGTATTCTGGCATTTTGAGCCAAATTAAAAGAGATCTCAGATGCGGACAAAATGGATGACTACAGTCAAGGAAAAGGGCAGGAACGGGAAATCACGCTGTTAGAACCGCAGGTGCCCTCCTGCGCCCAGGGCCGAGGGGAGCTCTGGGCCGTGGGGAGAGGCAGAGAGGATTGAAGCACCTTACGTGTCTTAGATTCAGCATCAGTGTCTCCTGTCCCTCACCCGTAACTCTGGATGCATCGATGTAGAAGTCAGTACATTAAATACAGACACCACTCTCTACTTCTAATGACTCCAAAGGAATATATGAAGGGAAATATTAAATATTCATATGTAATGCTCAGTGGAATTGTGGTTTTAAAGGTTTATAAAGCATTATAAACCCATTGCGGCATTTATCTGGTATTTCTAACTCACACTATGAAACAGTCTAAATAAAATCTTTCATATTTGTGTGTGACTTAGATTTTGATTCAAAGGTATAGTCTGTTTGTAATGCTGAAAGGGTGAAAATAAATTATACTTAATAATACAGGGTGGGGCAAAAATAGGTTTATAGTTCATATGGAAAATAATATAATAATTAACAAGTAATTATACAAGAATAAACTCTGTTTTGCATACTCACCACTGTGACCCTACTTTTGCCCCACCCTGTATATGCTAAGTTAAATAATGAGATATACATCCTTAATTTGATAAAAAATTCCATTTTTAAGAAAAGGCAAGGAACCTGTGTAGCTTAATTCCATTAAAATATCTGTACATGTATACACACAAATATATAATGTATATTCTATGAAAAACACTTGCATGAACTTTTATGTTACATATATAGGTATACATTTTTATATTGCAAAAATATGAATGGTAGTAAGATTATAGATACCTTTTTGGGAGATATGCCTTTGTATTATTACTTTTTAAAATTTTTATCTAATCAAAGTGTTAGACAAAAGAAAAGTGTTAAAACAAAATAATCCAGTAGGAATTATTTGCTCTTCTCTACCAATTACAAAAACAGCTTGACTTTATTCTAGTCAATCATAATAATTTAGAGACAATTATCTTCTTTTCCAAAGACAAAATAATTACTTGCTAAATTATTTATAAGAAAGACAAGGATGAGTAACAAATGTTTCACATTACTTTTAATTAAAAAGTGCACAATGAGCAAATACAAATCTGGAGTGGAAAAATTTTTTTAAATGCTTCGTACTCTGCTCTCGGATTTTAACTGTTTTTGTGAATTGAAAATATTACCAAGATGTCATGTCCTCATCTTAGAAAGGAAATGATTGTCTAGTGTTTAATTTTGGTAAGTGAAGGGTAGCAGTCTTAGCTAAAGCTCTCCTATTAAGATTAAATTTCAGCAAATATGACAAAGTGCTTCCGCTCTTTGTAAAGAAGGCCAAGGCAGGGAGAGAGGGGCCACAGTGTTGACGGAAGATGCCGTAGCCATTTTTAGAGCTATCTATTTGATTGCTTCAGCTTCACGGTAGTCCATCACTTGACGATAATTCACCCATACTGCGTTTTCCCATCAGTCTGATTAGAAACAGTGATGCCTTTATCAGATTAATCTTTCTTCCCTTTAGCATGTCTCAGTTTAGGATAAACAGAGCCTGCATCTACCCATTTGATTAATCTACTAGGATTTCAGCTGCTGAAACTGCTCAGAATGAATTAGATTTTAAACACAGACATATTTTAAAATCTGCTCTCTGAGTAAGACAATCACACTCCTTTTAATGTCTCAAGTTTTTCTGTATAAATGCGTCACTCTGGTAGCCTTGGACAGTCTCCCAGCAGCAGCTTGGTCCAAATCCGAGTGGACTGCATCCTGTCAGACCGTTCTGCCATCTTGTAGCTCCATCCGTCTCTCCAGGCAGAGTCTCTCTGAAGATCAGGGTGGAGAAAAAGTAGCAGGACAAGGGCAGGTCGTTCATCGGTCCTCGCGGGCGTGGGTTGTCCTGCCTTGTGTGCTTCTCAATTTCCCAGATTCTTCTTTGCTGTGGGATTTGGTCCATGTTCTCTTTCTGCTGAAAAGTGTTTAATATAGAGGCCAGATGAGATGAGTTGTGATTAAATTATTTGTTTTGCATGAAAAGCAATGTACTTTCTTCCTTCTTCATGGAGTTTGGCGTGTGAATGCCTGGAATAGCTGAGGAAAACAAATAAAATGAGAAATTAAGTTTGGTTAGCACCCGAATTTGGGTGGGGATGAAATTCCGTTGTCTTTTTTTAGAGGAGATAAGGTCTTAGCAACTGCGTAAGGAAAGAAAAGGGATCTGAGGGAAGAGTCACAATCAGGCAAGTAAGGTGCATATGCAGGTGCTCGTCGGGGGTTAAACTCCTGATTCAACAAGAAAACTTGTTCAGCGTGGCAGCGAGGCTGGCACTGTGTGAATTTACAGCCCTTTCAATTCCATGCGAGTGAATTGGCAAAAGACAAAACAAAACAAAACAAAGTCAAGCTCCTGTTAGTATCTTTCTCTTGGTCAAATTGCCCTTCGCATAAAGGTCACGTAACAGCCGCCCGGCCTGGAGGAAGGCGTCTGGTCGCGGGGTTTCTCCCCGCTCAGGGCCACGGCCTGGAACTCTGTGTGTGTGTCCACGCAGGTGCACGCGCTGCCTGTCAGGACCCGGGAGTCGTGGTCCCAGTAGGGCAGGGTAGGGGCCAGCGCGGCCTGCACGCTCCCGGGCTTGCTTCTGAGCTAGCGCTCAACGAGGAAGGTTTGAGAACTCTATGGTCTTGGGCTCTCTTTCTTTTCTCACTTTTGTGTTTGTTTTTAGAAAATGTCTTCTCTCACTTTACTGTTTTGTTTTTAGAAAACAAAAGAAGACAAAGTGTAAAAATGAGGTTAAGGTGTGAAGTGATTGTGGAGTAGAAGACCCCCCGCCTGGCTGAGTAACCTCCACACAAGTGTCTTAGCCTTTTGAGCCCCTTTCTCTTCTCTCCCCTTCCCTTTCTCTCCGTTCTCTCTGCTCCTTTTTCTCCCCCTTCCCTCTCTCCGCTCTCTCCTCTCTCCTTTCTCGCTCTGTCTCCTCCCTCCTCTCTCCTCTCTGTCTCTTTCCCTTTCTCTCTGTTTTCTGCTCTCCCTCCCCCCACCCTCTTTCTCTCTCTCCTCTGTTCAAAGAAGAAAGGGGAACCATCTCTGGTTCATTCAAAAACTCCGCAGTTCTAAAAGGAAAATACGCATGAAGATCCTACAGAAAATACACTTAAACCATACTTCTTATGATTGAATAAACTATAATATTTTGCAGACGGCTAGTTTGATATAGTGTGTGAAGAGTGGTTTTTTTACCTCCAAGAATAGCTGTCACAACCGCAGCCCCTGGTGACCAAAAGTGCCATAAAATTGGTTCCCCCAAAGTGGCCACATTCTGGCCCCATCATCCAAGTCACACACGATGAGGCCAGTGTGGGGCACCCAAGTTGAGGGCAGCCAGCGTGTAGGTGCGAGTGGTTTGAGGTATGAATGGTGTGACGCTTTGACCCAAGAGAAACAGTGATGCATCAAACCAATTAGAAACGCCCCTCGGGACAGTGAACCTGAGGCGCCCAGACACAGACCAGTGGCTGTGGGAGCAGAGGCATGGGCACCCTCAAACAGAGCAGACAGTTCCGGGGCTCTGCTCCAGAGGGCAAAGAGGGAGCCCGGTGACAAGGCTTGCACTAGCGTGGTGTGTTCACTTGTGAGTGGTTTCTGAGTGAAAAACAAGTGTACGCGTGACTTGACTGTGCCTTTTAGGGTGTACCCTTTGAATGACGGTGAGCAAGCAATTAGGTGTTTCGTTGATCGTGGGTAAATATTTGTTGATTCTGACCTTAGCATAAACTTGTAAGCCAATTAACTGGAGTTAGAATCTGAACATAGCCAACTTCAAAACTACATGACCGGTTTTGTGACTAAGTCTACAATCATGCCCTGGTCAGTCTGAACTAGAGTTTCTAAAACTGTTTGATACGTCCTGACCGCTGTGGCTCAGTTGGTTGGGCATTGTTCTGCAAAGCAAAAGGTCACCAGTTTGATTCCCGGTCAGGGCGCTTGCCTGAGTTGCAGGTTCTATCCCCATTTGGGGCGCATGCGAGAAGGCAACCCATCAATGTATTTCTCTCACATAGATGTTTCTCTCCCTCTCTTTCTACCTCCCTTCCCCTCTCTTTAAAAATAAATAAATAAAATATTTTTTAAACTGTAATGTAATGAATTATTATGCAAGGGGGTTATAATTTATGAAGTGCTATATGAAAAGCATTGATTTTTAAAACATCTTTAATGTTACTTTTTAAAAAACAGTTAACATTCATTTAGAGCCAAATTTGGTAAATATGGTGGGAGTTATAGTAAGAATGGCTTTAGAGAAAATTCAAATAAAGAAGCAAGTGCTTTTCT